TGTCCAGCAAGCTGGTCGCTATTGCTTGAAGAAAGCGATGAGGTTGGTCAAGCATGATTTCCCTTTTGTAAATCCATGTTAACTACTCCAGATCATCGTCTTGTCCTTCACATGTGTTTGGAAGTCCTTTCCAGGATGATTTTCTCTGTCAGGTTCCTAGGGACTGAGGTGAGGCTGACTGGCCTGTAGCTCCCTCATAGTTCTTCCTTTTTCTTCTTGAGAATAGGAGTGAAATTTGCTCTCTTCCAGTCTTCACGCACCTCTCCAGCTGAAAATTGAGAGTTGACAACAACCTCAGCCAGCTCCCTCAGCACTCACAGCTGCGGCCTTGTCAGGCCTCACAGACTCAAGTTCATCCGATTTGTTCACGTGCTCCCTAACCTTGCCTCTTCCACTGACAGCAAGTCTACCTTGTTCCAGGCTTCCCCTCTGGTCTGAGGGGTACGGGATTCCTTAAGGCCAGTCTTGCCAATAAAGACTGAGGCAAGGAAGGCATCAAGTACCTCAGCCTTCTCCATATCATTTGTCAAAAGTTCCCTCACCCACTTTGACAACAGGAACATCTTTTTCCCCCCGTCTTCCCTTTGCTATTACACAGGTGTAGAACCCTTTCTTCTTGCCCTTCACATTCTTTGCCAGATTCAGTTCCAGAGGGGCCTTGGCTTTCCTAACCCTACCCCTGCAAGATCAGAAACTATGCTCCTCCTGGGTCACCTCCCCCTGCTTCCACCTCTTCTACATTTCCTATGTGAGTCCAGTGAGGAGCTCCTTGCTCATCCACGCAGGCCTCCTACCCTGCTTGACTTTCTTCTTGTCAGGATGGACCTTTCTTTAGGTTTTTCACACAGAGACAAGCCAATCTCCCAAAGAAACATTTTCAATAGCAGACAAATTCAAACTTTGTAGTGAATATTTCACCAAAACAACACAAAAATGCTGCTAGGGAAAACCTCTTTTTCAACTGTATTGATACTAAATCAACACCAAAATAACAATACACATGAAGTGTTTTCTTTCTGAGCATCCTATGCATTCTTTCTGGGTAACGTGGACCTTCATTGTGCCAGCTGGTGTTTGAGTATAATCTCGTATCATTTTTTCATGCCTTAATGCAATCTCATGGTTGCTTTTGCAACAGGCTTTGACTGACTCTTTAAAAGGACACACAAAGTAGCTTTTACAGGAAAGTACTTCTACAGAACTCGGTTTGAAGCTATTCATCTGGGAAATAAACCAGCTACTTAAGTGTCTTAAGACAGGACTCTTACTCTCTAAATGTTGACTAAAAATACCTACAGTGTTTAGGTCTCCAACAGCTTTAAGTGAGCTTTAAGAAAATACAGTAAAGGAAAGCCAAGTCAGGATCCATGCAACTTTTATTTTCATAATTAGACAAATACAGGAAAGTTTGCAATAATCTATCAAAAACATATCAAGAACCGGAAAGGTGTTTAAAAAACATTCACATTCGATCATATTATGTACAAACCAGTGTTTGTAAAAAAGAAAACAGCAAATGCTTTGAGTGTAAAAGAATTCCATTCTAATTCAGGTTTCAGCGTTTCCAATGACCGAGTTGCCACTGAGATGCGATCACAGTGCAGACGTGTTCCACAGTCTCTTAAACTCATTTCAACAGCATCATTGCCAAAAGTAGTTTGTTAAAATAAAGCGTTTTGAGAAGTTTCTTCACACAGTACCGTCCATCTACAATGTACTTCTGCATATTTAATTCTTGACTGCACTAAAGGCAGAGCAGTTGTCATCTACAGGCCCAGAGTGCATTTATCTACATCTCTATAGGTACAGATATATATCTATATATCCAAGAAGCACCAGTCTCCTATGCCTGAAACAGTCAGGGGTCTGCTTTGTACACTGAGGAGATCAGCCATTTTTAGTGGAGCACAGCCCTTGATTATTTGGCTCAAAGAAGACATCATCTGCCCAGTCAGGACTATTCTGAATGCGTTGCAATATCACATGCGTACCTTTAAGACTCACCTCACACAGATGACACTTAAATTTGAGTGCGACCACACATAGATATGACAGTGTCGTACACCTTTGCTACAAGAAGTCTTTTTGCTCTGGATTAAATCCCCCAAGACAAAAAAAAACACGAGGAGAAATGAAGCAGCTGATTTTTAGTCAAATCTGTAAATCAGTATTATGTTTTCTCATTCATTTATCTGAAACTTAGCCAAAGAATGAGACTAATAATTGATGTAAGCTAAAAGAGGAGAGAAAGCTATCGTGATACCCAAAGTAGGACTACTGAAACAGTCACACAATAGTGACCACTCAGTCTGCTCAGGCACAGAAGAGATTAATCTAGCTACTGGGGTCACACAATGGTGCTTTCAGAGCTACAGCCTCATGTGCTGCCATTAACATACTGATTTAATAACACCGGAAACTCTCTCAAGAACGCAGACTGCATATCAGAAGTCTTTCAGTATACCGAGCGAAGCATGCTGAAACGGTTCATGATCTCAAATTAGACTGGTGTTTTAAGATAAAGGACAGAAAAGTGACACAACCCTCATGCTCATGTAGTAACGACCCAAATGCAAGCAAAAACTGTTCTCAACTGAACCTTATGGTCCCAAGTACTGAAATGATCTTGACTTGCTCTTGACTCTCATTTGAACATAAGCTACAATGATTTGGCATAAGAGGGCAAATACAGAAAATTTCATGCTGGTTTCTGAAGGTGTATGTAAGACTTGGTAATAAGCAACGTGCTTCAACATGGATTGGCCTGGCCTTGAAAAGCAGATTTCCCTTTTGAATTTATTTTGCGATTCAAATACATAAACTGGAACAGTTTCTGTGAATATAACTTTTATAGTCTCCACCACTGTAACTCCACACTAGCTCATAAATTAAAACGTCAGGATAGCAGAAGCAGCTCTGGAGAGTGGGAGGCTGGCAATTTAGTGTTTGAAGATTCTAAGCTCTTTTTTGGGTTGTACCTTTAACACCCATTCAAGTATGTGGAAAGGCTTTTGTGTATTTCTACAGATTCGAAAGCAACTCTTAATGGAGCTACTACTCCCATGGTGCACATTTAAGCCAAAAACCAAGCAATAAAGATGACTGCTGCATTTAAGTAACAGCTCTTAACTGAGAGTTGTCTCAGGTATGCAGACAGATGTTAGCGATGCCAACTCCTAGCAAACCTGTTCTATACGATGAAACCACAGTTAGGATGCCCCGTAAAACACACAAGGGAATTTTCTTAGATATAATGCTCAGGAAAGGGAGAAGTTACAATAGCATAAAAACAAATCAAAGTCCTGTTAAACCAAAAAAAAGAAAAAAGAAAACCTGTTTTGAGTCAGGCTTCATTGCAGCAAAATATGGAACAGTGACTTAAGCTAGAAAACACAAGTTTGACTTGAGAAGTCCGTGTAAGCCATTTGGATATGGTTCCTTTATTAATGCTATCCACAATGAATCAGCACACAAATGAGATGAATAAAAGTACTTCAGGAGATGAGACAATGTATTTTATGCAAACACAAATGCTAACACTACAGTTAGCAAGTCATACTGGAAGGGACAGACGTTTCCAAGGACAGTCACAGTAAGCCTTTCTTGGTTTTAAAGCACATTTCTACATCACAGCCTTTCTTCCCTTATTTGGGCAATGGTTGGTGAACATCTGTGATGTCTCAGTCCTCTGAATCTATAGGCACTGAAACAAAGCCCCAGAAAAAGGGTAAAACGAGTTTGTGTCAGGGTTTTGACAACGTTCTACTTAGCAAGGACTCCAGTATCAAGATGCAAGTAAAATGGAATGCCCGTCAAAAGTATCCACACATCCTGTGCCTCCCTCAGAAAAAATTACAAAAAATTTTAAAAACCTACTTTTACAGAGTGAGAGACTACAGCAAAAACAACTTCATCCCACACAGGTCTCATTTCCAAGTAATTGTTCAAAACCGAGCTCTTTCAAATGAAGAAGAAAACAAGGTTTAGCAGTTTTAAGGTTGGAATTGATTCTTCTTCTTGTAAAAAGTTCAAAATTTCATATCTTCTTCTCAGTGATTTTGAGTTGTCTTTCATTCTCCAGGCGTCTGCTCCTCATGGGAAAGGTAATTAAAGTGAAGAGAGCCACAGATTTTTCTCCTTGGTAACATTAACTGATGTCTTGCCTACTTAAAGTGTCCTCACCAATAACGATAGTACATGGAAAAAAAAAATCCTTGTTCAACCTGAGGTGTTAGATGGTTGAGAGATCAATACTTCATGGCAACAGAACTGTAAACCATGCATTTGAAGAGAAAAATCTCAGTGATGCATTAGAAGTGCTACTAATAGCACTCTGGTCTCTAGATCCGGCAAGCTAAACCCCATCAGGGATTGTTGCAAATGTCTACTTACTTCATAAAAATTTCAATTAAAGGAACCTAAACCAAGAACGCAGTCCATGCTGTTAGTGACTCTTCTCAAACACAGGGTTTGAAATGGGTGTTCTAGCAAAATGACTTGCAAGAGCACAAAGAGTAAGTCCTGAAATTTCTTTTTAATGTAGTTTATTAACTTTTTAGAATCTAGGATCCAAATTAGGATCCGCTAATGCCAAATAATTCAGTCCAAGTCTAAGCAGCTACATTAACTGGAGCAGGTGTACAGAAAGTGCACCTTTGCTTGAGTATACAAAGTATTAAAAATGAGAAGAGGCTCTAGTTCCAGTGTGGGGAAGAAAAACCCAAACTTTTACATTTACTAAACCAAGCGCACTCAGGCACAGAGGCTATGAAGTGGTGGAGCACTCTCAGAGTGACATTACTTTCTCCCTTTGTCGGATTGCTACAAAGTCCTTTCCCGTTACAGAAAGCAGAGGCAGGACTCCGCTGTCAGAAGATCACTGCTGAAGTCTGAACTGGGTTCTCTCTCTTCGAGCGGTTACAGAGACAATGTGATTTGTCAGCTTCCTCTGTTAACACCAAGGAAGTCCTGAGCACCCTTAATGCTGTGAAAATCATCAACCTGTGGTAAGAGATCACATTGCTGGTGGAAGCGTTAGCAAATTTCACACAGGCGGCCCTTACCAGAGATATGTATATCAGACTACCTCTGATATAACAGCACTTGGTTTAGACCAGTCATCAGGAAGAAGCCATTTTCACACAAGAAAATCCATACGGTGCCCAGTGCAGCAGTTGTCTCGGGGGGGGAAAAAACCCAAACAAAAATCATCAGAGGAAGTTGTAATGATTCAGGCTTGGAATCTTGAGTATTGAACTTCAGCCTCGCTCGAGAACTGAGGGAAAACATTCTTCCTCCTCTCAGATTTGCTACAAATATCCATAGAATACCAGTACCAAGTGTGCTAGATGTAGAACTGATGGAACGCTAGCTGGTCCATAAAGGGTTGCACCAAGTTGTCTGTAGCAAAGTAAAAAACTAGCCCAAAGGTTATGGAGATTGGAAGTGCTGGTAAGGCCTTCTTAAAGATGGCAAGAAGCAGAAGTGTAAGGCACAGACCCTGAGGGGAAAGAAAAAAAAAAGACAAAAACATAGGGAGAAATTAGGGAACTCTGACAAGCAAAAGATTACATACATAAACATCCCACAGAAATACAAGATACAGTTCATGCCCTCCTAAACTAAAGGCACAAGTGATGGATGATCCAGACAGTGAAAATCACACCTGAAGCCTCATCAGTTTTCTGTCAGGGCACCAAATGAACAAATTCCAAAGGAAAAACGTAGCAGTCATGACTTTGTCCCTGATGAACAACAGAAACTACCCCCATTAGCACATTATATTATACTCACAATTAATATGGCTACAAAACACGCTAAAGTTGTGTTCCAGTCTCCACTTGCTGTTGCAGAGGCTTTGCCAACAAGGACACTGTAGAAAATGAAGTCTCCTAAACCTAGCTTTACTCCTCCTGCAAAGCAAACACACGGCAGCAGTAAGTAGCAGACAGTCTACTAATATTACCTATCAGTAACTGTCAGAGAATAATACAGATTTACATTAATTATCAACAAGACTTGCTAATAAGAACTTTTTCTTTTCAAAACTAGTACTACTCCTCAATCAAGTGATACAGAAAAACTTTCATGAAACAAAACCGCTTAGAAACATGACATCATTTGATTAACTCATCCTACAATTAGAATTTTTATATATTCCTAGTCTCCTACACATAACAAATGCAGTGCATACAAACTCAGATATTTGTAATTGTACTTGTTGGGGGCGGCTTCCATTTTCGGTTGTCACGTCATACTCAACAGAATATTGAAGTACAAGTCCTTTAAACTGGCTGAGGGAGGGGGAAACAAATGTGTCACATGCAGATGATGTTTTATTTGCCAGTGAGAAACCTATACCCAGCAAAACACTTCACTGTCCTCACAATCTTCCTACAGATTTCTTACTAAGGCAGTTGTAAAAAGCACTCGTGTTTAATTACAAACCATATCACAGAGGCAAAAAAACCAACATACTTAGTCCCACATGTGAAGTTTAGGAAAACTCATTAATTAATGTCTTGGTCTTTTAAATAGCAATTACCACTTCAGCAACAACTCAGGGAACACCGCACTCAGTTATTCCTACAAAAAAAATAATGAAGACTCCCCGAATGCCCATTCACTTTCTGAGCTTTCAGTCCAAGATATGAAGTCAGAAAGGCTAACACGAGGTCACCAGCTGCTTTCGTTTGGCCTATTGTATACTTTGTGACCTGATTACAGTCCAGCCCTAAGGGGAAATCAGGGCATCAAAACAGAGGTTTGTGCCTGGTTGGTCACTGGGGAACAAAAAGAAAGGGGGGGGAGAATAAAATAATAAAGAAAAAAGGGCAACCCTACTCTCCTCCAGCAGGCCTCCAATGTATGGCTTTAACTGCTGAAACAAAACCTGGATGCTGGCTTTCAGCGTGACACATCAACAAGCAAAGGCAACTGCTAGATAAGTCCATCCACACAAGTGAACTCTCCAAATTTCTAATAAGCCGCTCCAAACTTGCCGTAAGCTAATGCTTGCTGACAAGTCTGACTGGATCACTGCACATCTGTCATTACTGCTTGCTGCAGGGACACAGAGGGAGAAAACTGTCTGGCCAGACAAGAGTTTGAGTTAGCCAGTTCACTAACTAAAATAGCCCAATTCCTAACATTTTTGCATCTTAATGTTATTTTTCTAAGCTCGAGATTTGCAACACAGTTTGAATTTTGTATTTTTGGGACAAAGGAAATGCTGAAATTGTTCTTAAAGTAGAAATCTCTGTCTTTTTAAACAAAGGAGTTACCTGAGAATCAGAGGATGCAGTTGCACCTGCTAAATATGGCAGGATCACATGGGAAGAGCAGTTTATTAAACAGGCAGACCCTAATTTATTTAGAGCTTTGCAAATCTAATACCAGCTTAAACTCCAACTGGAAATCACAAGTCTGTTAAAACAGCTGACTACTGATGTCTTGTGTGCTCCAAAGATACTGCACCTCAGCAAGATGCTGGAGAAAAATATTCAAGCCCGTGGCATTCTGCATTCATTTCCATCTGCAATTTGGTTTTAAATGTTGCTTTGTGCAGAGTGGATTACAGCAGTTTAATCTCGAGGCAAAAAACGTTAATAACTGCATTTACAGAGCCTAAAATCCAAAAGCGTTACACAGAAGAACAACACTGCATGACAAAGAAGCTAATGCAACTGACTGTGTAACGGTCTGAAAGCAACTTGTGCTACTGAAGTTTTGAGTCTCTGTATCAAACTGAAGATCAGTTCGGCCAGTATTACTCGCTCCTGTGGCAAAACCAAAAGCTACCAAAAAGAAATCCATCGATTTCTGTGAGGCATGTCAGTATTGAGCGTAAGCAAGAGCAGCTCTTCAGCTTGCTATTGGTTCACAGCGTACTCTATGCAGTCAGAATTAAGACTAAGACTAACTAGGCTTAAGATTTACTGAGTCTTTCAGACACAACACTCCATACTCACGTTCTTCGGGGTCTTCACTGGTTTGAGAGTTACTGGGTAGAGCCTGGACAGCAGCACGCGATTCAGGCGTTGACTCAATGGGTCCTATTCTATTGTCCCGTTGTTGCTGCCATTCCTGACTGAAGCCACCATCATCTGCTTCAGCATCTTCACTCTGAGTCTGGTTTGCCGGAGCTCAAAGGAAGAAAGGCATTTAAGATGTACTTCAAAAGTGTGCCTTCTAAAACATGACAGTCTCTCTACTTGTAAGATTATAGAAGAATGAGGAAAAGAGAGGTAGAGGTATTCCATAATATTTATTGGGCCCCTCAGTTCAAGAAGGACAGGAACTGCTGGAGAGAGTCCAGCGTAGGGCTACAAAGATGATCAAGGGAGTGGAGCATCTCCCTTCTGAGGAGCGGCTGAGGGAGCTGGGGCTCTTTAGTTTGCAGAAGAGGAGACTGAGGGGAGACCTCATTCATGTTTAGAAATATTTAAAGGGTGAGTGTCACGAGGATGGAGCCAGGCTCTTCTCGGTGACAAACAATGATAGGACAAGGGGTAACGGACACAAACTGGAACACAGGAGGTTCCACTTCAATTGGAGAAGAAACTTCTTCTCAGTGAGGGTGACAGAGCACTGGCCCAGGCTGCCCAGAGAGGTTGTGGAGTCTCCTTCTCTGCAGACATTCAAAACCCGCCTGGACGCCTTCCTGTGTAACCTCATCTGGGTGTTCCTGCTCCGGCAGGGGGATTGGACTGGATGAGCTTTGGAGGTCCCTTCCAATCCCTAACGGTCTGGGATTCTGTGATTTAGCAACACCTAACGCTGGCACACACCATTACAAGACATTCTCACTTAGGATTTTAATACTCACTTAAACAATCAGGAGTCAATGTGCACTCTGCAGTCACAGCACCTACGTGCTGCACTACAGTCCTAGTACTCAGGACTGCTTCGATGTAAGAGAGTGGAAGTTCTGTGGTGACTTAATTTAAAGATCGTAATTTTAGGAATAAACTCTCATCTAATATTTCATTAGCTTCTTTAGTCAACACTGACAGTTTAATTTTCCAGTAAAATAGGTGGTGTTACTGAAAGTTACATATATGTACACCCCTTCAAGCACGTAAATTCAGAAACTGCTCTGCTTTAACACCGTATGTAATCAAACAAATCCCATGGTTTTAGACAAAAGCTGCACAGCCAAGAGGGCTAGGCACATTTCTGTTTAATACCAATATAAATGAGTTAGCATTATACTATCATCACCAGCATCCTGGATCCCAGAAAAACAAATACAGGAACATTCACTGAACAATAAGTGAGCAATTTTTGAAATCTTGACAGATTCATCATTCCTAATAAGGCCTCCATGCTTCTATAGCAACTAGGACACTAAAAAGCTAAACCAACAGCTACAAAGAAAAACTCACCTTGTTTATCATAAGTGGAGTTTTTGGAAGCTTTCCGTTGGGCTTCTGGATCTTCCTCAGCCATGTTCACTAGCCATATCATTGTCGCTATTAAAAAACACCAAACCAGCACAGCTCATCACATCCTCTGATGTATGCAATTCCGAGATAGCGTTGGCATCAATCCATTTTTCTTTTTTTTTTTTTTTGATACGACTATCTTTTGCAACAGGCAATTTTACTCTCATTAAAGCACAGTAATATCTGGAACACAGCCAGCACCAGCTACAACACGCATTTACAGAATCTGGTGAATAAAAGCTTTATTCTTACTAGAATGAAAAACATAGCAACAGCTATTGCCAGAGAAATTACTTCCATATATGAAGCCCGCTCTAAAAACCTGAGTCAAGTATTTCTTTACTTTTTGCCATTAATCAGTTCTTCTATTGGCAAGTAAAAAGGTCTGTTAAGGCTCGCACTGAGGACTAAACCTCAATTCAGAGACAGCATCTGCACCAAAGGCAGTTGTTCTCTGCCCCCAGCACCACAAAGAATTCTCCAGTCTGGAGGGAACGAAGCATTGCCACACCTAAATGATGTACCTGAATTCAAGTTTGGGGTTTCTTAGCATTAACCTCTCCTCCCACAGAACAGAACAACAGGCAGCTATGAGTAGTATCAGTAAAGCACAGCAAGAGTGACAGATGAAGAAACCCCTCCCCTTGCTCCACTGTAAGCTTGACCCTGCAGCACGCAGTCAGGCTACCACACAGTTCCTGCTTCCAAACCAGGCCTTTCTTGAGCACTGCTAGTATAACCATTTACGATTAACCTATTTCACTGCCTGAGCACATGATGACAACTTCAGGAACAGTGGAATTATGTACTAATGAACACACAGGCCATAACAGCAACTTGCATTCAGTAGGTTATTTTTCACAACTGCAGGGAGAAACAACGTATAAAGAAAGACAAGCCCTGGAGAAAATTGTTGTGTAAATGAACCTCTTCCAGGCAATTTCTCCCTTTCCTTCCAGTAACACACAGATTATTTGTGCATGAAAAGCTGATAAATATTTTCTAAAAACAAGTACTGCATTTGAATAGGGTTGATTCACAGCCTAATGACAGACTGCTTTGGGCAAAACAAGGTGTATTGCCATTTTTCCTGTTCATATTTTGTAACAAAACGTGCTGGTTTTTATCTTGAAAGACCTCAGCCAGAAGATGTTTCCCATTTGTCAGTCAACAGTGAAAGGAAAACCGAGGCCCAAGTGAACAGACTAAGAATGGCAGCTGACAAGGATCATGTTAAAACACAGGAAAATGATAAAATCACTTCAACTGAGTGATTGTAAGTTTAAAGTATTTAATGAAATATACCTACACGAGTAAATAAGCGCTGGGAAGAGAGTTTCATTTCTCTCTTGAGCTGTCTCAACTAGCATACGAAGAGGACCTTTAGGACACAGGACAGCAACCAAATCTGTAAGGAAGAGCAAACACATCTTACACCACTGCAGACACATTTTTAAGAAGGTTTTTCCGTCACACTCGCAGAGACTGCTAAGAAGATGAATGCTACCCTGAACATAGACTGCCAAGAGAGCCATTGGCCACAAGTCAGCATCCTACAGAAATATTTCTCAGTGTTCTCAGTTACACAATCTATTTTACATATTACTGTGATATATATCTATAAATTCTAAAAACGTGATGTTCCTCACTTAAGATACTATGCAGCTGCAAAGGAATCTGTGTCTGTTTCCTGACTTGCAAGTTGAAAATAAACAATTCACAAAAGCTACTACTCAACTAATGTCTTGGAAACACCCAAGCTTGCTTTTTATTACCAAAGCTTTTCATAACCCAAGTTTAACGCTAAAAGAAACTTTAAGGTAAGTAAGGCTTACATATCAAAAAGTAGGCATGACTGCAAATTTATTCCCATTTAAAAAGGGGAAAAAAGTGAATGTGTATGTGAAGAGGAAAAAAAACCAGATTTAAGTATTGCAGAAAAATGCTGTGTTCACACAGATGTAAGAGGTGTTCAGAGCATATTTAGCATAAGAAAAAAAACCAACAGCTTTTCTGTTGCTTCATTCAATCCTTGTTCATGGGACAGTGTATGACATCGGGTGAAGTAAAAATTAACTGAAAAGCAATCATCTACAGAATAGGATGACTGCACGAGTTACTCACACAGATCAAAGCACAGCCTTACAAAAAACTGACCTATCAGATGATCCATTTGCTTTCTCACTTGAATGCTGATGGTTTGTTAATGAAATCTGCAACTCCACAACCAGCCACAGCTACTTTTCCCTTGTCTTGCAGAAAGCTGTAACATTTACAGATTAACCCTTCACAGCTGTCTACTCACTGTGTGTCTTTAAATTAATCTGAAACAAAATCTGACACTGAAATGAACGCTTAGCTGTCAGGAGCTGTATGTGGCAACAGAGGAGTCCTTCTGCACCCCAGCTAACTGCCCTAGCACCATTGCTGGTCCTGCTCAGGTAAAAAGCTCTTAGCACGGAGTCACAGGGTCTGAAACTTACCTCTCCTTTAGTCAAAAGAGCCAAGTTATGGTCTTGGAATATGATCTGAAGAGTGATTGCATTTTGCAATCACTGAATGAAGGCTGAATGCTCAGAATACTCAGATCTGTTCCAGTCATAAGAAGGGTGGAAGTGGGGAGTGGAGGGACAGGAAGGTTTTCTTACTGTGCCATATGATCCATGAGCATAAACACAAGGGACATTTTTCCTCCCTAAGGAAAGGGAGGACCTAAGGACTACACGGACCTACCAGAGCTGATCACATCCTATTAACCCCTGTGCTTCTACAACTGGACAGACTCTCGGTCTTTGTCATTATCAGTGACCTTCAGAGAACACATTCATCATACTTACATGCTTCCAAAACAATTCATGAGCACATCTTCCCGTGTACTCTTAGCTGTTGTGTTTTCATGATGTCTAAGTAACTGGAATTTAGTCTTGGCTGGGAACTAAATCAGTATTTGGGATATAGAGTGATCTTCTTATCAAACGTGTCCAGTGCCCTCTAAAGCTTTATGAAAAAACTACATCGAGGTATCCCAGTCATCATCCTGAGACAATGTAATACATGATAATACAAATTCATTTTCTTCTAATTAAAAAAAAAAATCCAGGAAACAGGTATCACAACTACATTCTTCTAAATGTAAAATGACTTTGAGCAACTAAAGCTGCCTTTATTCCTTCCTTGCTTCCTTCTCATTATATTATTAGGCATGGGTCAGGGTATTGTTTCTATGTCCACAAATTTGAGCAATTCATAGGTTGGGCAGATCTGTACCTGTACGGGACTGTACCCAAACAACAAGCTCCTAAATTCTGAACGTACAATAGTTTCCAAAGATTCTTGGGGAAAATAAGAAACCAAAAGCCCTCCACCTTCACAGAAGAGATCAAAATGGCAACACAGATTTCTTATCTCCTCCTCTCTTCAATTACTTAAATATTCCTCCCCAAAGAATCTAGAAAGTACAGAAAACATGAAGGAAGATGGCATCGCAGAGTCACACAAGGCCCTTAACTGCAGGAGACTGATCTCTGCTCAGTTCATGATCTTATTTGTGAAGTCTGTAATCACCTTAACCACTACTTTGGATGATACTCCCACACACAAGTCAGACAAACAGAAAACAGAAAGTCAGGAAACAGAAGAAATTCCCAGCAAAATATCTGCTACTGTGCCGTGCCCCAGACCTTACCATACACTGAAATGACAGCCAGGATAAGCCACGCAGTCCACTCAGGAAGGTACTTAATGAACACCAAGGCCATGAGAGCACTTATCATGATGAGATACGCCTGCTGGAGCCGGAGGGGACCCTTCCAATGAATGCAAATCATTCCCACAACACCGAAGTTCCAGATCATGAGTGCCACCGTAATGTAGTCCATGGCAACGTTATACGTCTTAAAAACCTCACTAGAAAAAGAAATATGGGAAAGAATATGGACTGCATTTGCTTAAGACAATGGAAACAAGTTACAGATGCAAGCTCCAGAATTTTGTTTTCAATTTTCATATTCATATTTCATATTGCAGTGGCACAAATGTAAAAATCTCTCTCCAATTAGTATTTAACTGTTCTTCCCAAAGAGGATAATTTTACCAGTGTTTGCTTCACACCAACTCTGTCACCTTTCCGAAAATTTTCATTAATGTTCTGTTTCCTTCTCAATCAAAGCAGAAAATGACAGGAAAGGACATTACTGCCAAACCAGTAATTTTGATTATACTAATGGTTTTTAAAGATCAGAAGAGTAAGAACTTATGAGGTTATAATGAATTTTTAAAGGCATGCAAACAGATCTCCTTCTACCTCCCTGCCCCCTGTGGAACGGAAACACTTCGCTCATCTCAAAAGATACACGTGGTTATTCTATTTTATTATTCGTCACCAACACTACAGTAAAAAGCTTCCCTTTTCAATGAACTGTGCCATCCTGTCACACCAAATACTATAAACTAATTAAGACCCTCAATAACCAATACACCGAAACAGAGAAATACCTTGTCACCAAGCCACAGGTGATTTCTACTAATCCAGGGAAGAAACAGTTGTGATGGCTGTTTGCAGATTCTGCTGCTACCAACTCATCAAGCCACTAAGAATAATTATAAACTTATAATTTCTTGAATAATACTTTTCTCCAGGAAATCTGTCTTCCCTAGTTGTTAGCTGGCCTTTGAGAGGCGCACTGTTAACAGGATGTCCCTTACTGCCATCATTGTATTTGGTCTCCAAACTCCCTCCTCACTCCTTGGATGGCTGCAAAAAGAAGCCAGCACCACTGTGAGGCAGCAGGGAGAGGTGAAGGAAAGCAGAGCGTCAGGAAAGCCTTCAGTCCCTCTGCTCACACAGGAGCCTGGCAACTCGTCTCAGCTCAGCCCACGCTGCACTTGTGCAGCACACACTGCCTTGTATTTCAGGAGTCATTACTAAAATGAGAGAAAATACTGACAAAAAAAGGCATCTCAGATCACTTCTCGCAAAAACTAGTGACTGAAGGAACACCATTTTCTCCCCCTAGAGACCAAATTAAATAAGCTTCTTCAGAGAGATTCGTATCTGACATCAAGCGGCACAAAAATAAACACACTATGATAATTTCATGGCATATCTCTAGTTACAAATGCTGGTGTGGGTGCTTGTTTTAGAGAATATTGAATATTACGTACAACTTTTCTCGATGTCTGGATAAAGGCATGCTTCTGAATGCAAAAACACTGAATATATTTTGGCAAGAGAGCAGATTCTTTTCAGCTGATTCTTCTCTGCCACTCCCAGGCAAACAGCCTTCGCATATACAGCCCACCACCAAAGCCATGATGCCAACAACTGCCCCTGAGTCATATGGCTATGAAATACTAAGTTATCAGAAGATCAACTAACAGAGTAAGTTACCCTGTAGAAGACAGCTTATTATGGCAACGCATACGTGATGGATGGCTCCTGCACAACATCAGATGCACTATAAACCTGTAAATATCCCTCTCTTTTATGTCTACTCTATGAACCTATATAAACCCCCAAATTTTAATGCAATAGCTCAATATCATTCTTGTTTAAGATTCAGGGGCTAGTTCTAAAATAAATAGATACACAAACTGATACATGAAAAATAGCATATTAATACTTCAGTTCACTTACCCCAGGTAGATAAATGAGAAAAAGAAAAGCAGTAATAGAGAAGAAATTATAAGCCAGCCATGGATCACCTGGAAAAAAGATATCAATAAAGGTTTGGGGTTTTTTAGATTTGATAATTAAAAGCTACTATCTAATTAAGAATACTTTTAAGGTTATTTTCCCTACTGATTAAAGCAATAAAATGATATTCAGCTCTCTGTCCCTTTGGTTGTTGCTAAGTTCATATTTAGTGTCTATTCGTTATTCTATTTTAATTTACACTTACAAATTTTAAGTGCTTTGTGGTCTTTCAACAGAGATTCTATAAAATGAAAGCTACTGTGTGTATCTTTAGGCCATTTTGGTAACAGTGCTATTATAACATAGCAGAAGGATCCTGCATTAACAGAGATGGAAAACATTAGTTATTTAATGTGAATACTGATATTTCATTCCAGTAAAGAGTAAAATGCTAACAATGTCAAACACCAAGGCCGTGGTCCAGCAAGCGTTTACACACGCTCTGCCAACAGTACTAAAGGAGATAGCTTCAAGAGTTGACACAAGTTGGCAGTTTACACACAGACGTTCGCTTTATTCTCAGTATGTATCTCATTTACCATAGCATTTTCCAGATCACCCTCCTCTTTTCATCCAAGTGATTTTCCCAAAGCATTTATTTTAAGTTTTGGCCAGTGCTTTCCAGGCAGCACACTACGACAGGTTTGCTGCCTTCTAATTAAAGAATTCTCCTTCTTCATTTGACAACAGCTTCAACACTCTTTGACTGCTGGTACAGAGTCCGCTTTGCCTGCTAAAACTTGAATATCAAGACTAAAGATTGCAGAATGCAGAGAATTACAATGAGCTATAGCAGCCAGATTTTGGTTAGGCAGACTAGAACAATGAAGAATGCAGAGAATAATAAAATATCTTAAAAAGAAAAGCTAGTCAAACAGAATCACCTCAGGAGATGCTGTTTCTGGTTAGATTTAGGAGCTTGAATCAGGACCATGCTTGATTTATCACATACAGGAGAAACATAAGAAACTAACAACAGTAAAGCTGAAATAGTATTTCCTTTCTCCAAAGGAGTTTTCAGATAAAAATCTTGTGAAGACAAACAAATTGTCACTACCAGTTGGAGGCCTAACATTTTTTCATTTGAAGTTCTGCTGCCCATAATCTAGAGTACAGTAGAAGTGCATGTAAAATAGAATTCAATGGACAGGTACCTACATTTTACAGCATTCTGGTATAGCAGCATAGTAAAAACTAGTTGATGCTTTCAGCAACTGAGGAGAAGCAATTAGCTGCCACAGAACCTAACATCAGCTATTTTACTTCATTAGAATGAACAGAACTGACAGGTTAAAAAGGTAACTTTGTCAGTTCAGGTTTAACTCGACACTGTCATAAAAGAGAAGGTCCATACTTTAAAAAGCACAAGTCCAAGCTGTGTGCAGATTCAAGCAGAAATAACTTCCCCAGTTGCTCCACAGATAACTTTGTAAAGGGGTTTCACCCACAGCCATGAAGACCAAAACCATTTTCCCCTCCTGAAAACAAAATAAAGTGGAGCAAAGCTTTGTGCCAGTGCATGGATCCCACAGCCCGTTTTACAACTACAAAACAGAATCAAGGTACTGGCTGTCCACTGAGAAGTTTTATTAGGCCAAGCCTTGTCGAATGGGTCATTAAGACCAAAAGATAACCAGGAATTTTCACAGAAAAACTCCTCCCAGGCAGGTGACATTGCAATTATTTATGCTAAGCCTGGACTTGCCTAGATTATATCATTATTGGATTCACAGAACAGAACGTTAGGGATTGGAAGGGACCTCAAAAGATCATCCAGTCCAATCCCCCAAAGGATTGAAGTCTTTCCCAAAAGAGACTTAGTCTCTGTGTTTGCTATAAGGATACTGCCTGCTGCGTACAGCCACGCACACATCAGTGTTGTGAGACCTCTATACTGGGACAGGGTGGGGAGAGACGAGTCCTTGAAAAGCCCCTGAAGTCCTGAATAGCTTCCAAACTGTAGGACCAGTAGTCTGCACTTTGTAGTTCTTGACCACAGGAAGATTTCAGTGCATGGCACATTGCACAGGAATAGGAAGCAATGCCACCCTAATTCTAACTTACAAAAGAGTCAGCAGTGTTAGCACTGGGCCTTGTGTCATAGGAGCAGAAGCCACAAAACTGAAACAGTTGACTGGATCACCAATTCTGCTCCTTGTGCTTGATAACCCTTCATTCTGTTCCATTCTTGACGATCTGCACAATAAACAAATCTAGCACAATTACTAAAGTAACCATATTTATACATACCTTGTAGCACCTGTACTTGTAAAGCACAACCAGGAGTATGGTCATGACAATGATAACGCTGATCATGATAGCGGCATTGAGAATTGAATTCAGGGCTCTCTGTCCAACCGTCTCAGTCTCTTCCGTGAAAGGAGTGTAGATGCTACAGGAACAAAAGATCCGACTGAAATGCCACTGTATGCACAGATGCTTCTCCTCAGAAGACTTGCCTTTCTCACATTCTTAGATTATTACTATTTTCTACTTTGTAAAATAAACAAAACCCAGAACTCCGCACTGTTTGACACACTAGACTATCACTGCAGCTGGACCTTTACAAGCACACCCTCTAGTGGGTTTCCAATGAAAGGTTCCTCAGTGATCTCAACAAAACAATGTCGAGAGCAACTCTCTTTTCTTAAAGAAATACAGCAGCCTGGGGAAAAATCCAATTCATCATGGGAAAGCTGGGGGAGGGGAGAAGAAAACACCATAAAGAAAATCTCAAGAGAAACAATTCTCTGATCATCAACCTTGAGAGTGAAAAAGAACTCTGTGTTTTATGGAAACACTTTATGACATGCTTATATTATACAAACACTTCAAAGCCAAACACACTTCGAATCACTTTGTTTAAACATTTGCACAGTAGAACACTGAGACTGATTTGCTGCATGCTCTGACAGGCTCAGTGTTCTTCCTTTGTCTCCTTTCTATCAAATCAGCTTTCACTGAAACTGCTTTTTTTTGGGCAACATTAATATTTTGCTAAAAAATATATTAAAAAAAATAAAATTCAAAAAAGGAGAAAAATCTACACAGAAAGCCTGACAGAAAAGTGTCTGTAACTACATCACAAGTGAACCTCATAAAGCTACCTTAATTTTGCATTTGAATTTCTTTATCAAACAGCATAGGCGAACCAGAACTTGGCAGCTATGTTACTTCACTTAAACGAGTAGTTCTTAACCTTTTCCAAAAATCTCTGTATTCTAGCAGAGTACAACTGAAATGGCTCTGGCTCAGGATTAAGTTTATTTTATAAATACCACAGAGCATGACAAAGTATTAAAATGAGGACTAGGATTTGAATCAAGCAGTAAAAACCAAGATATTATCCTAACTGGTCACCAGACAGACAACAAATGTCAGTAGTACCACAAATTTAGAGTCTGGTTTCTGGAAGGTATAAAACAAAACTATTTTGGGGCTGGTGGAGGGGAAAAGGGAAGCAAGAGGGAGTTCACTGTTTGAATGAGACTCCTGAAGAAAGGGAAGTTAAGGAAATTAGGTGAATCCATTGAAAAGATGGGGGGGGGAATGATACATACAGCTGTCCATCCTTGCGTGTATAAAAGCTGACAGACTTGATGGTTGCAACGACGACCACCATGCAAAGTGTGACAGGAACAAACAACATAATCACATGTTTTGCCCCATATTTCAGTGTCAGCTCCTCATCTTCTTCTTCGTCTTGTTCCACCACTTGCTGAATGTTGTTTTGCGGCTGCCCATTGGTCTCAGACTCAGGATTGTCATTCCTTCTGCGCTCGCTGTTATCGTGGCGACGTCTTTCACTGTTGTCATTCTGGGATGCATTAAAAAAAACCAAGTTTCCTCAGCAACCATCCACAATCATATTCTTGTACATTAAGCTAATAATGATCTTGAAGGGGAAACGTATAAGGTGATATTTACTGTCAAGAACACTCGCCACAGCAAGGACTTAAACAGTAGTAATTAACTGCATCACACAGTTATCCAAAGAATGATGGCACAGGGCTGTGTTAGAAGCATTTGTTTAAAACAGCAGCAGCTGAAAGCACGGCTGGTTGCATTCACAGCCTACATCACCTTTCCTTTAAACACAACTTGAAAAGCTGACTAAGGACAGCTTTTTCCCTTGGTCCAAACTACAGTTGCTGATGTAGTGCATGACAGTAGATTATTCACAGCTTGACAAGAATTAACTGTACCTGTTCCTAGAAACAATGCCCACAGACATTTATGAACCTAACTCCATGGAAAACCCAAGAAGATTTCTACTTTCCTTACCATGTTACTCCAGTACTGTAAACTACCTAGAATATATACTAAAATGGAGTTTCACAAGGTATTGGGCTCCCACATTTTTAGCAAGAAGAATGACACAAACAGTGATCCAATTCAGGTAATTCTCAGTCTTTATACTGAGATTTGATCCCAGAGTTTTAGTGTGATGAGGGTACAGATTCTTTCTTTCCTGTCCTGAGGATACTACTGCCATATCTTATCACTGACACTGAAGAAATACGACCACTCTCATCAAAAAAATATGAAAGAGCCTTCCTGATACTGCTACAGGAAACATCAAGGGTATAATTCAAACACAAGGATAGAGGTAAACTTCCAATTGAATTAAGATTAACCACAAGTAAAACCACAAACTGGGAGCACCACCTACAAGTAAATGACCAGGCCTGTGCTCCTGGTGTCACAAACCTTCACCCCCCTCTCCAAGAAGCCACAGGAGCAGGGGGCATTTAGCCCTCTGTATGTTGTGTGTACACACAGAACACAACAGGAGGGTGAGCTACATCCCACCTCTTCTGGACTACAAAGCAATAAAACCATTTTACGCTTACCAGTCTCTCTAAACGAGTCCTGAAATGCAACAGTTTATACATAATACTGTTTTGGGGGGTTTTTTTTACTGTATTACAATGTCCAAAGTAAATGCTACACTGCTTCCACTCCCTGCACTCAAGAGGTTTAACAGAAAAGAGATGCAACCCCAAGATTTTTGATTACTTACACAATGAAACATTTCTTCACAATTACTTCATTCACAAACACTTCAGTTGGAGCAAGTGCACTAAAGCAGCTTTCAATTAAAACGTACAATAAACTGAAAGAAAATATTGTTTGCAATACCTTTAAAATATCACTCAGCTCTAGTAAAATTGCTCCAGATACAAGACGCGGCATTGAAAATATCCTAATAAATTTCTGCTTTAGTAGTCTTACACAGGTAATTTTTACCTCAAACATGCAACTAAACTCTCATGACATGTTCTTAATAGCATTTCCAAACATACCAATGCCAGGACAAGGGGCAATGGGTGCAAGCTGGAGCATAGGAGGTTCAATCTGAACATGAGGAAAAACTTTTTTACTGTGAGGGTTACAGAGCATGGCCCAGGCTGCCCAGAGAGGTTGTGGAGTCTCCTTCTCTGGAGACATTCAAGGCCAACCTGGCCATGTTCCTGTGTGACTGCTCTGGTGATCCTGCTCTGGCAAGGGTTGCACTGGATGAGCTTTCGAGGTCCCTTCCAACTCCTGAGATGCTGTGATTCTGTGAATTGCTGACTTGTACCTCATGGACTGGCTGCAGTTTTTCAATAAATCATCAATAGTAATTCTGGAGATTCTTTATAGAGAATTGTCCCAGCCCCACCCTCACAAAAGACGAGATGTTAAGTACACACTCAGAAACTCAGAGTGGGGTTTTGAAAAGCACTTAAGTGATTAAGGAGTACAAGTCCCCGGACTTTGAACTGCAAACACTGACGCTGCTAAAGCCTTGGTTGAAGCTTTATGACTTCCTCAACTCCTGAAAAATTTGCTTTCCCAAAACATGACAAAGTGACAAGACACATCAAACGCTTTGGCTATTTAGTCCTCTTCTGGGGTACCCTCTGGATCAAGCTCAGCAGAGTTTCAAGAACTGTCCTCTAAGAAAATTTGCTTTGTTCTTCAAAAAGGAAACTGAACCTAAGTGGAAAAAAAATAAATCTAAAACTGTCTTAATTAAGCAATTAAAACTGGCAGGCAACCAGATTTATAGAATCAAGGTTTTAACCTTAACTTGAATTTAGCATCTTCTGAAGAAGACTTTGGGTTCAATATTATCGCTTACTAAATGAAAACTTTGTTCTAAATCACTTGCCATTTTGTGCAAAGTTCTCACATAGAACTACTGAAAGTCAGAGAGAAACAGGAATATGGGAGAATGCAAATAAAGAGATCATGTCCAATTGTTCCGAAACGCTGGCTGCCACCCAACCGCTTTAGGAACACATCAGAGCTCAAATGAAACATATTTCACCTTGGTAGTGCTAAAAATATTCCATTTCTCTCAGTCTGCGACAGCCATAAGCTTACCTGTCTAAATAAACTGCTTAAGATGATCGTAAGTAACACTACACTGGAGACGATGAGAGCCTCAGAACACCACACAAGTAAAGCAGAACTGGCAGTTATATGTCTGCACACTTGCAGAATACTTTGTTCTTTCTCTGCTGTAGGGAGCACTTACCCCATCTTAGGCACAGAAATAGAAAAAGCAAAAGAAAAAGCTACAGCTTTGCAAAGCGAACACAAAAACAGCCAAAGGCAATGCCTGAATAACTAGCACATCACTACAAAAAAAATATATATAAATCAAACAAAGAGGAAAATGGAAGAAATTAGACCAGTATGTGCCCTTCTATTCCCTCCACTAGTTAGGAACAAAGACACAATCACAGAATTCCTACACATATTAAAACACACTGCATGGAAAACAGATCAGCATCAAAAGAGTAAAGAGTAATTCTCTCATTTGTTGTTAAAACCAGGAAAAAAGTTGTCCTTTCAGGCTATTAAAGCGTAGCCAAAAGTGACACGCGCGTGCCCCGCTGCTTAAAAGTACAAAGTGCACTCGTATCCTACCTGATCAGTATTAAACAGAGCAGAGGCCATGGACTCTTGCTGAAGTGGAAGCAAAGGAACAGATTCTTCACTTTCCTCAGACATAGTTAAAAGTGAAAATTCTGAAGCTAAAAAGTCAGTAACACCTGTTGTAACACCGTAAGCAAACGTAAGTTACGAACTACGCGCTTTCAGGTGACTAAACAGTATCAAGAGCAAATCATGTTTGTTTTTTTTATTCCTATCAGGAAAATAGTTAATAGCAAACCTAGCACAATGCCCCTGAACCAAGAGATAACAAGCAAGCATATTCGATATAAAGGTTTTATTCATTAAATCCAGATTTATACATCAGGAGCAGACCCCCTTGCCTGACTGCGGGCACACACTTCATTACTTCTCCCGTACATCGTTTATATTTAAAGGTCATTATACAGTGAGAGATATTAAAGACTGGGCTGGACTGAGTGTGTGACTAGAAGAAGAGAAGGCAAGTTATAGTACTTAGACATTCCCCATGCTGACTTTTGGCCACGGAAGCCAGATCTATTTAAGCAGGAAAGGATTTTTGTACGTATGTACAAAAACAAAGCAGATACATGTAAGGGAGAAAAATCACTTCAACTAAGTACTGAAAAGTACACCTAAAGTTACACCTAAATGAGGAAAGACAAAGCACAAGTATCAGTTATTCATCAGTACAGTTTGTCAGTGAGAAGTAAATAGAACCACCCGTCCCTCATTCCTGGGGAGCAGCATCACCAAGTTATCTGTAAGAATGGTGAGCCCGTGGTTTATTGCTGAGCTCTGTCTTTTTAATCTGGCAGAAGCATTCAGTAAAGGTTAATTTCTCACCTGTCCAAGATGAAAAAAACTTTTTTCATTCCCTCTGAAGTAGAAGTACAAAGGATGCGTTAGAAAAGTTTCCACTTCTCTATTTTTATTAACAGTTTCTACAATCAGTAAGATCTTCAGACTGACTTCTTAATTTAAAAATTTCAAATGTTTTCCATTTGTACTGATATAGCTGGGTGCTGATCGGAGCTAAAACCAAGCATTTTTCAAAATTCTACTTAAACTGCTGGATTGCACAGAAGAGTCAGAGCAGGGATCAAAATATTCCCTTGAATCACTGCCATAACCATGGCTACCGGTGGCCCAGCCTCACAAGAGCACTTCTGTGTCACAAGGCAACCTGACACTCAAGAGCTGTAGCAGGAACAAAGAACTGAGCCTGACAAACCCAAGAGCCTGAGCACCACACCCAAGCAGATCACCTCCACTCGGTTTTACCAAAACACGTGCGGTGCAATGAGTACCGTTTTAGCAACGATTACGTGCTTAGGTCTTTCAAAGCAATCATGTAAAACTTTACGGTTTGAGTTTCCCTTCCCCTCCAAACCTCAAGAACCCCGAGAGCAGCCTGACAATTACTCACACCTAAGACACAACAAGTGCTGCTCTTCCTGCATAAGGAGCAGTCCTCCAGCAGTTACAACAACAAAACACAGGCGTCAAGCTCTGCCTAGACTAAAATTAACTCTGTGACCAAGAAACCATGAATCAAGGAGACCACAGTCAGGCTAGATCAAGATTGCTCACTGAATCCCCTAAAGGTCAATGTTTAACACACAAGCATCCCACCCCATTTTCTTATTTCTCTTGAGGGCTTGGTCATTCCAACACCACTTTAAACCAGGGGAAGTCTTAACTGTATCTAAAAACGAGTTTAGAACATCAGATGTTTTACAGGCTATTTCTTTTAGCACTGCTTATCACCACAACAGTCCAGACAGAGAAAACTACTCCCCAACAGTTTGCTGGAGTTCTGAACTGCCTTTTCATGCACATTCAATATTTATCCTGATTTAACTGCTACCAGGTAATAAAATGGTTTGTTACATACAGTGTTGCTGAGGTGGGTATCAGGGAAGTTTTCTGTCAGCTGCCCATGCTGAAACTGGGGTAAATGTGCAGACAGTTCTGTCATTGGGGCTGTCCTCTGGAAATCACTTAATTCTACACAAAATGGATCCTTCCTCTTGAGATGCTGAAAGGAAAAAGATACGTAAAAAGCCTTTGTTCTTATGCAACCAAGTTCTCCATCCCCTCCCTACCCCAGTTTTCAGAGTTCACACAGACCAGAGATAAGCGTTTTCTACCTACCACATGATACCAACCCGTATCGCATCTTTGCTAAGAGGTTAAAACAGGGATTTTCCAGCTTAAAAATAAGAGCGTCTAAGGCATTATCAAATTAGTTCATCAGCCACGGAAGTAAGCCAGCAACAAACTAATAATTCAAAACGGTCCTCCATTCCTCCTTGTGCAATAAATGAGAAGCACTGCTCAGAGCACAACTTGTATCCTTTTACCTCAGCACAGTACAAGTACTCCAAGCCGTTCAGTTTTGGATTCCTGCTAAGCCCAAGGGGAATCGTCAAGCGAGGATAACTGAGTTACACCTGATTATCTAAAATCTAAATATATCTTTAATACTGCAGTGCCCTGAGAGCAACCTGGAGCCACACAACACTATTTCAGCTGAGCCTGGAGAACGGACGTGCATTCGTTTCCCCTAGCGGCAGGTTTCATGTACATGAAATATGCCAGATACTTGTAACATTATACATTCTTCCACCAAAAAAAGGCACCTGCTAACGTTTTCCTACGCAAACGTGAATGAACCATGCGCTCCATAACAAAGGAGGAAAAAGCAATAGAGGGGAGGAGGAAGAAGGGTGTGTAACCACGTTAAGTTTCAGAAAAAACATGATTTTAGGAAACAATGAATAGGCCTGGATAAATCACTGGTTTCGTTACACAAAACACAGGGAAGTGAATAAGCCACTGCCTCAAGGGTGGAGTGCCAGTCCCCACTTCCATCCCAAGCGGATCCTGCTCCTACCTCGTGCCAGCTCCACCACTCCTCAGTCCTCTCTACAGCAGATTTTACTCAGTAAAATGGAAGAAAACAAATCCAGGAAAGGAAAACAAGAGTATTTTTCTGCTGTTTTAGTGCACCCAACTAACGCATGGAGGGATCTCGAAAAACTCATACAAGGGAGGAAGGACATCACAAAGCAAGGCCTCTCACTTTTGGCAGCAGCAAACCACAAGTGCTACAAGACAGCATCTTACTGAAAGAGGGAGTTGAGCCCGTTTTCATACACACTCAGATACAGAAGCTGCTTCCCTACTCACAAATAAATACGTATCTTGTAAGACTAGTGCACAGTGCTAACCAACTTCAGCAGGGATGTAGCTCACGCTAAAGAGCCATTAGGAAGCAACACCGATTTGACAGGTCTAGTGGGAACCTGCAAACTGCTTGGAAAAAGAACAGCTCTCTTCCACGCTCATAATTAAAAATAAAGCACATCTCATTTAAAATATAATGAAATGTAAGAGTAGATGAAAATAAATAGGCATTAAGTTGCTTTTACTTTTAAAGTATTTTGCTCTAATTCTTTGGTTGGGTTATAGAATATTAAAAAATATCGTTTTAAGGCTGCTACTGGTAAAAATTCTCAGTGACAGGGCGACCACAGGGGGAAAGGTTGAGTATTTTTATCCAAATGTGGAGTATTAGAGTGTGATTTTTCATACAGCAGGAGAAGAAGAAAACCCCAAACAACACATCAACCCACAAAATCCTATTTAAAGGCTGCTAAAGGAAACCACTACAAACTCGTCAAACAAATAACCAGCTACTGAGAAGCAGAGAGGAGCTGAAGACAAGGAGTAACCGACAGAAGAGCTGCAGCAAAGCTTGAATGACAGTGTCTAACAGGCCTCAAAACTCATGGTTTGTTAAAACAACCCCTTTTCAAAACTCAAAAGCTCAAAAAATAGATTCAGGACATCTTCCCAAACAACTTTATTTTGTATTTTAAAATGAATGAACACTCCCAAGTTTGAAACCTAACTATGAATGAATGAATGAAAGAAATCTAGAAATGAACTGCACATAAACAGGCACAAATTAGTTTTTTACCGAAACTATTAATATTAAAATAGCCCATCTAAAAAAGTGCTTCCGTACTTCCTTCGGCTCTCCTTGCTAAGAACAACAGGAGTTACAACTGCAGTACTCACGCACTTACACCTAGTCTAAAAAGTAGAAGTAACACACAAGCTTTAGAACGTCTTCTCAACTTAGGAGGACCAGGTATTGATCAGCCAACCAAGCCCGGTTACCCCGAGCTTTCAAATAAGCAACAAGCAGCGGCCACTGCTTTCCCAGGCCACCAAACGCCCCGCGGAGCTCGCCCTCAGCCCGCCCCGGGTCGAAGCAGCCCCGCCAAACCC